TTTTTCAGATGCTTCCTGCATCAGCAAAAAGGTTATACTTCCAGCTGCTGTGCACCAATGGTTCTGCTCCAGCGATATACGGTTTACCGAAGATTCACAAAAGGGGAACGCCTCTAAGGCCCATAGTAGATTTCACTAGGTCACCCCTATACAGCCTCTCAAAGTATCTTCACGGCATCCTGGCTCCCCTTGCAGGCAAGACTGAAACTAACCTCCGGAACACCAATGACTTCATAAGCAAAATGAAGAGTATCACTGTGGATGTCGACGAAGTACTGGTTTCATTTGATGTCTGCTCCCTCTTCACAAGTGTTCCCGTCGACCTTGCTGTAGACACTTCCAGAAAATTGCTTCACAAGGACACGACATTGGCCGATCGCACACTGTTCGACGTCACCGAGCTGTGCACCTTGTTACGGTTTTGCCCATCCAACACTTACTTCTCGTACAAGGGTGAATTCTACAGGCAAGTTTTCGGTACCGCAATGGGAGCTTCGATTTCGGTCACAACTGCGAATATCACAACGGAAGCAATTGAGCAGAAAGCATTGGGAACATTTCAACCGAGACCCAAGGTTTTTCTGAGATACGTCGACGACTGCTTCTGCGTGATAAAGAAGAAAGACGTCCAAGCTTTCCTTGGCTGCCTAAATGGCGTCGAGACTTCCATCAAGTTTACTGTGGAAGAAGAAAAAGACGGTTGCCTCCCTTTCTTGCATGCAGTTGTAAAACGTACTCCCACAGGCCTCGCCTTCGCTGTGTACCGAAAGCCAACGCACTCCGGTAGATACCTCGACTATGAGTCAGTGCACCCGGTAGCCCACAAACGCTCAGTGATTCGGTCTTTTGTTCAACGAGCGATTCGCATTTGTTCCGATGAAGAAAGCCTGCAGGAGGAGCTCAGGACCATTGAAGATGACCTGATCAAGAATGGATACCCCAAGATTTTTATTAGGAAAACAACTAAATCCGTCATGCATAAACTGCAGTCAACAAGTCAGGCCATGCATAACACATCGTCTACAAAAAAGCGTGCATCGATTCCTTATATTCGAAATATAAGCGAAGCCCTAGCCCGTCTATTCAGAAAACGTTTTGTACAGATCGCGCATGTTCCAGCAAGCAAGCTTAAGGCTGAGTTGCTAAATGTGAAGGATCCTCTCCCTCGGCAACACTTTCCTGGTGTGGTCTACAAGATACCATGCGCCGATTGCGAATCGGTGTACATTGGCACGAGTGGAAATTACTGCAAACGTCTGATGCAACACAAGAATGACGTCGCCAAGGGCCACACAGTGACAAATGCGCTCGCAGAGCATGCCGAGAAGACGGGCCACGAGATAAGCTGGGACAACGCACGCATCGTGGCCACGGAGAAGAATTTTATAACCAGACTGAACCTCGAATCACTAATCATTCAGACGACAAGTAACACAATCAATAGATCATCTGGCACACTAAACCACGTGTACTCCCGGACTCTGCATCATGCGCTCAACGTTACATAAGAACCTGTTGCTCAGCCGTCATTCCATTGTGAACAAGGGACCCGTACGGGTCCCGAAACGTCATTGTTTTGTTTGACATTGGTCAGTGACCTGTTTTTTCAACAATGCCTTTACCTGACCAGACGGCATTCCGTCGAACTCTCGACTACTCGGCAGGCATGTATGGCATTCGGCAGGCAGAAGCATGTTTGGCAAAGCCGCGCATAGCAAGGGGGCGAAATTAGAAATGAGGGCGCAGAGAATAAAAATGAGGGAGCGAGGGGGACAATCTTTCTATTGTCATGTATGGCATTTGTCACGCATACCTCTATGTTTCATAGCCCGGTGTAGCAAGGGACGAGAAAGCGAGCTGAGGTTGAAGAGGATGGTAATGAGGAAGTGAAAGGGTAAAGCATGTATAGTCATGTATGGCATTCGGCAGGCAGAACCACGTGTGGCATATCCACGTATAGCAAAGGGTGAAATTAGAACTGAGAGAGCAGATAATTGAAATGAGGAAGCGAGACGGTAAAGCATGTTTAGTCATGTATGGCATTCGGCAGGCAGAACCATGTGTTGCATAGCCGCGTATAGCAAGGGGGGAAATTAGAAATGAGGGTTCAGATAATGGAAATGAGGAAGCGTGAGGGTAAAGCATGTTCAGTCATGTATTGCATCCGGCAGGCAGAACAATGTGTGGCATAGCCACGTATAGCAAAGGAACGAAATTATAATTGACGGTACATAGAATGTAAATCAGGTAGCGATAAAGTAAAGCATTGTGTAGTAATGTATGGCATTCAGCAGGAAGACATCTATGTTTCATAGCCGTGTATTGGAAACCAGCGCTGAAGTTTCCAGGACCACCCTGGTGGTGAGAGCGCGCACTTCTCAGCTGCTTTTGCAGGCGAGAGTGGCGGCTAGTAGAGGCGGTGCGTGCGCGCATCGCCGTAACAAAACCATAAAACGCTGGTGGTTCTGCTGTGTATCCGAGTGCAACAATGTATAAGAAAAGGGAGAACGTATAGAGAAAAGTAAGGACGCAGAAAGAGGAGGCGGCGTTGCATTCAAGTGTTTCGGCGAGCAAAGTTATGGTCGCGCTCTCCTGTCTAGTGCGGTTAGGCTTGTTTTCAAACCGAATGGCGTGTGTCTGATATATTTATTAGATAGTAAAGGTAGCCACCAGTGGGAACCAGGGCCGAACAGTCGAGATTAAACGGCGTTTTGCAGGAAGTCAAACGAGCGTATTATGCAACATACGGCATATGTAATCTTTCTTTTTTCTGGCCTGCTGTGCGTTGAGTCGTGCACTTCAGGATTGACAATGTTTTAATGTGTCCATCCATCTGTTTACTAAATCTCTGATGCCACCGCAGGAAGTGAATGATACGATGGGCCGGTATGCTTTTCTTTTTGTAAACAGTAGCGTGTGAAGGAAAGCTGTCTTGCCCACAAGGCTTGTGTGGGGCTAGGTTTACCTACGCCTCTTAGCTGTTATAATGGATACTCTCGTGGTGAATGCTTGAGGCTGAGATGCTTCTGTTTAACTCAATTCGTGCAAAATATATGGTTCTTGTTGCGAACAAAGCAGTGGACTACTCAAAGCCTAGCTTTCTGAAGTCAGCCGGTGCGGTAAGCGTTTTTCTCTCTGCCTGCCATGACTAAGTAGTATGGAAATTTATTCCTTGCTAAAGAAGTATTAAATATCTTCAATTTTTACTCGTTGTTTATATTGTCTAACACGGAAATTCAGTTTTTCCGCTTGCCTGTGTCAGCCTAAAATGAAGGTGTCTGTTCAACATCGATAATTGGTAGGCTTTCATGTGCCAAACGAGATATCATATTGAGGTACGCTGTAGTGTGCGTGTCAACATTATGACCGCTTGGTGTTCTTCAATGCGCACATATATCTTGGTTGCCGGGTGTTCTTACTATATTTCACCCCCAGCAAAGTGCGGCTGCCGTGATCCTTAATCTATCTCGTGCCCACAAGAATAGCAGCGTGAGAGACACCACACGTGCTATGCTGCCACGATGGTTTGCTTGATCAACGTCCCCGTGCATAAATACCGTGGACAGGGCATACGAATGATGCAAGAAAAAAGTTGACGCAACTACCACTTACTCTTCTTTTGTTTTGTTTAGTTACAGTTCACACTTTGGCAGCGTGGTATCGTCGCAGCACGGAATTGTCAGTGGGGGCATGTAAGCCAGCATTAGCATTAGCCTAAAACCCAGCACGCCACCAGTATATGAGGATGAGGGAGCTGCCATCACGGCACAGCACTCTCATTTAGATACTATACACATAGACGCAGTCCGCTTTGAAGGGCTTCTCTCCGTTTTTTAGTGATTTTTATATGAGAGTAGCCTTCCGACAAGGTATTTTTCTAAACCACCGTACTGGCGCGGAATGCCTTCTCGAACTGTTCATTCCAGAATGAAGCCCGGCAACGGTGCACGCGCGTGCTCTCCGAATAGTACACTGCTGCCGGTAGTCTGGGCGCGAGCCGCTGATCATTATCACGACTCTCCACCAGCTGCTCTTTTTCGGTGCGCCACCTATTCTGTGCTGGTCCCCCAAAGCAAGAGATGAGAAAGCGAGCTGAGGGGAAAGAGGATGGAAAAGAGGAAGCGAGAGGGTAAAGCATGTAATGTCATGTGTGACATTCGGCAGGCAGAAGTATGTGTGGAATAGCCGAGTATAGCAAGGGGGTGGTAATAAAAATGAGGGGGCAGAAATTTAAACGTGAAAGCGAAAGGGTGAATCGTAGTATAGTCATGTATAGCACTCAGCAGGCAGACCTGTATGTTTCATAGCCACGTATAGCAAGGGGGCGAAATTAAAAATGAGGGTGCAGAGAATGGAAATGAGGAATCGATAGGGGGATTATAGTATAGTCATGGACAACTGTGGGAAGTGACAAAACTATGTGTGCATAGCTATGTATAGTATTGAGATAGGAAAGAGAAATGATCCTGAAAATGATGGAAAGTGAGAAGATGGAAAGTAGTACAGCAATGTTTAGTCAGGTATTGAATTATGCACACGAAACCGTATGTGGCATATCTGTGTACAGCAATGGGGCTAGAAATAGAAGTGAGGGGAGGAGGATGGTAATGAGGCAGCGAAAGGGTGAACCAATGTTTTGTCTTGTATGGCATTAGGCAGACAGAACCATGTGTGTAGCATAGCTGTGTACAGCAAGGGGGCTGGAAATAGAAGTGAGGGGAGGAGGACGGTATTAAGAGAGTATGATGGTAAATCAAAGTTTTGTCTTGTATGGCATTAGACAGACAGAACTATGTGTGGCATAGCTCTGTACAGCCAGCGTGCTGCAAACGGAAGTGACAAACAGAGCACGGTAATGTGGTAGCGAGAGGGCAATGCAATGTTTAGTCTTGTATGGGATTAGGCAGACAGAACCATGTGTGGCATAGCCGAGTGTAGCAAGGAGGCGGGAAAGAAAAGTGGAATTCAGGAGAAAAAGAAACAAATAAATATTCATGCAGGGTGTACTCTACCACTGAGCACTCGTGGCGCACATCACTGGTTCCCGTGTTCGACGGCCTGGCCACCACCACGCACACCTTGACCGAGAGTTTCATCATTCGCAAGATCGTGACTGCATACCGCACCATGCCGCCTGGGGACCTGCTGGTCTTTGACGAGCGCAACGTCACACTCGATCTTGACTCGGAGCAATACTTCCAGACTCTACTGAATGTATGCAGTGAAAAAGTACTTTCTTTTGTCTTTTTCTTTTCGTACGTTGCTTAGAATTTTCGGGTAACTTGTGGCCGAGCATACGAGATGTGTTATCCGCAAAGCATGATAAAGTATTTAATTGCTAGGACATAATAATTAGGAAACGGCACCAGCAATTTCACTAAGGATACGGTTGACTATGACAGAATGCTTCTATTTGTCCTGTTTTTTTTTCCGCGGTACATGCAAACGGTTCCGACACGTTGAGCCGTTTGCTTCAGCAGAGGCACTTACTAAGATATGCGCTTGGCCATGGTTACCATTGGGTGAACTTGAAATGGAGCCAGAAAGGAAGCTTAATGTCGCCTACTTAGTCCTGCAATTTTCTGAGTCACCAAATTTGTAGCCAAATAGAACAGAAATGGTATAATGAGCAGAGTCTTTATTGTTGATGAAAAATTATACTGCATGAGAATAGAAACTTGCACAAGTTCGTACGTATTAATTTTATATCAGCCGTGCACTTGGGGACTATGACTAAGAAGAAAAAAATGTGCAGATTCTTCTCTTCTTATTTCTTGCCCCCCAGTGCACTGCTAAAATTAAGATGAACAATACTGTTCTGAATATGTAAAAAAAAGCTATTTATAAGCTTGAAAGTGTATTTAATAATGAATTATCATAAATTCATTGCGCGTGCACATATTTTAAGTAGAAAAGATAAAGAGTTCTTGCATGACACAAAGTTGTATTCGAACATTCCAGTCAGCAAGTCAGTATACAAACATTGATTGTTGAAGCAGATTTTTTTTAACCTGCCGACCAAATTCGACTTTATGGATTGGGTATTGCAAGTCTCTTTCAGATAATGAAATTTGTTTATATATGAACAGGCAAGCTTCATTTTCTTGTGGATTTTGGTCTCCTCCAGATTACACAAGAGCATGCATTACGCGTAGAAGTAATCGTGAAAAGTAGGGGGTAGCAGATTTTGGACAGCTTGAGCAGGGTGCTGGCTTTGTGTTAGTGAACATGAACGTGATTTCCCCTGTGCGCATTCGTAAACGAGCCAAACGTAACGAGCCAAACGTATTGAGGTATCCGTAAGGATACCTCAATACATGCTGGTGGGTGGAAGACGCGCGCGTGTGCTTAGGTTGAGCCAACACAAAAGCTTCAAAACAATGTACCGCTGATTGATTGATATGTGGGGTTTAACGTCCCAAAACCACTATATGATTATGAGAGACGCCGTAGTGGAGGGCTCCGGAAATTTCGACCACCTGGGGTTCTTTAACGTGCACCCAAATCTGAGTACACGGGCCTACAACATTTCCGCCTCCATCGGAAATGCAGCCGCCGCAGCCGGGATTTGAACCCGCGACCTGCGGGTCGGCAGCCGAGTACCTTAGCTACTAGACCACCGCGGCGGGGCAAAACAATGTACCGCATTTATTCGCGTAACGAGAGCACTCGCATAATAAACGCACCACCAACTTCAGTCCTCCGAATTTCAAATTTCCCCCTGTTATCAACGCACCCCCTACATTCATCCGCTGCAGTCCCGCTAACCGACACCTGGCGCCTCCTCACTCGTTGGATCTCTTCCGTTTTTTATTACTTTGCCGACCCACCTCAACCACCTTGACTCGCTCCCCCCCCCCCCCTTCGTGCGTTTCCACGTGCCTATTCTTTTCTTTCTACCTGTGCGCGGCCCGTCTCCTGTCTTATCTGTGCGCCACAGCGGAGTTTGCGGGCAGTGGGACGCAGCTGATAAGCACACAGTGAGCGAAGATCAAAAACTGCCCGTGCCAGCCGACGTCAGTCGCTTCTTGCGAACCCCTCCCTCCCCCACTTCTTTTTTAGCCTACTACTTTTTTTCTTTCTAACTGCCCCTTCATTCCCCGTTTCTCCGTGAGTGTATCTGTTAAGGTGTCCTCACATGAGAGACAGTTATCGTACACCCCACATCCCTTTTTTTTTACCTTTCCACCTTTTTCTGAAGAATTCCCCCTCCCCAAAAAAAAGAAAAAAGCCCAACCACGTGCATTCGTGTTTCAAGCGATGGTTCATTTGTGGGGTGTCACGCCCCAAAAACCACCATATGATTATGAGAGATGCCGTAGTGGATGACTCCGGAAATTTCGACCACTTGGGGTACTTTCACGTGCACCCAAATCTGAGTACGCGGGCCTACAACATTTCCGCTACCATCGTAAATGCAGCCGCAAAAGCCGGGATTCAATCCCGCGACGTGCGGGTCAGCAGCCGAGTACCTCACCCACTAGACCACCGTGGCGAAAAGAGTTTCAAGCGATGATGGAGTATTTGCTGTCGCGAATGGTCATTCGTCACTATCACGTCACAGGTTTCTGGAAAAGACCAGGAAAGATCGCCTGTTGTCCAGAGAAGATCAGAATGATTTCCACAACATGGTAGCACCCCCTACTCTCGCTTCGCTTCTTATCCACGCGTAGAGGCTTTCCTCATGCAGAAGCGAGACAGCGCTCGTATTTTGTCGTTTATCTTCTTATATGTTGTTTCTTTTGATGCTACCAGGGTAGCTTACTGCAATGTTGGTGTCTTGCTACCACGACCTCGTCGCGCTTGCTACAATATTAACGGCATCGTCATGGTCGTCCTGCAAGGTTTCCGAGAAATCGGCAAAGTGCGTCGTCGCGTCTTAGTGCGTGCTTTGGGTGCCCCTCGAGATCACAGCCGATACCACTTTTGCGGTTAAACTATTGCGAGAAAAGATAGCTGCAAAACGTTTTCATACCATGCGCAGACGGCACGAGGACAACTTGCAGAAGATAGCGCCATCAAACACCAAAGATGAATGAAATACAACAAAGATGCTGTTTCCAAACAGTGTACGCGTATGTAAATTGCGAAAGGCTAAGCGACCTAACTTTTTGTTGCATTACCGTATTTTTGCTGCTCCAGAAAAAGTATTCATAAAATTTACCCCGCGTAATAAACGCACGCCCCAACTTTTTCTGATTTCTTTAGAAAAGCTCGCGCTCATTACGCGAGTAAATACGGTATTTTATCTTCTACAAACGAAAGAAATAGCGACTTTGCGCCAAGTTAGAAGATTAGAAACCAGATGGTGGTCACAGCACCAAGTGAAAATTTTCGTCAGCAAACAAAGGCCAAAAAGTCGTAAATTTGGCGCAAAGTAGCCTCCTACGGCAATCTTGTGTTTGGGCAAGTTGGTTTATACTTTATCTGACAAACTATGGTGCAAACTAAACTATTTATTTGAGCCCAAGGTTGAACACCTGTCTAATGTATTTTTTGTTCATGGCCCAGTTTCTTCGCCCTCACTTCTCAGTGACACTTCTTCTCTGAAAAGCTTTAATGAGTGCTAATTGATGCAAGTTGCCCCATCGTCTGAGTAGGAATTGTGTTGGCAAGTTGATGTGCAGTTGCATCACATTGTTTGAACAGTACGTTTGTATCTGGAAAGCACGGTATACAACCACTCTGGGCACAGTGGAGAGCCGAATGCGTGAGCGGTTTTAGTTCCAGCGGTGTGCCAGTACTTGAGCGACGAAATAAGGGCCTCATGCCTTCTATTGATACAATAGCTGGTGTAGTTCATCCACTTGCAGTCTACTTGCACCCAAGTTTTCAATGATGCACATACAGCAGATTTCTGTCTTACCTCAGTAAAGTAGGCTCTGAATTTTATCGCATCCCATAAAATAGGTATATAAGCACTAACATAACTAAATGGCGCAATAGAAGGAGTAACGTGAGACATGCAGTGTACATGTCAAGATGAGATGCCTAATGCATCTCATCATGACATAGGAGATTTAGTTCAGAAAACAGGAGCCCTTTCTCCAGTTGCAAAACCCAGTGGCACTTTCGAACTGCCTTAGATGGCTGTTGCACGGCCCACCGCGACGTTGGTTATTGGCTAAAACCGGGCTCTCAGGTTTCTGGTAATTTTCATCACGTGCAGATAGAAATTTTAAATAAACTTCAAGCACTGGGGTGAAATACTTAAAAAAAGAGTGTGCTTCCATCCCAAGGCAGCTTACAATTCATGTCCAAAGCGTTAACAACGTGCCACACTCGAAATATGTGCAAAGGCCTCTTCGTGTACTAATAACTAATCTTGGTGGCCCATCTTTTCTTTTTCTTTTTTATAAATGCTTTGTCTCCTAGCATATGGTAATGAAACAAAATTCAGTTCATTTGTTTGTTATGTGCTGTCCATATGGTACGTTTTTAGTATGCTGCATTAGCACAACTGAGGTTGTGCGCTGCATTCGTAGCTTTTGCTGAGCGTTAATCATTTCTTTCTATAAAACGTTATAAAATGACCTTATTCAAAATATTTACAGTGACAAATAGTCAAAACGAGAATAGTGAATCGGTTTCTCAAGATGATCGTCCTCCAGGTAGCATGGCCTTCATTACTTTGTTCATCACAGCATTCTACATCTCACGCTCAAATCGCTGATGAGGTCCAGTCGCTGATGAGGTCAGAGCACTTTCCTGAAGCTTCTTCAATATACCAGGTGCTTCAAGAAATGTTTCCAAAGTTTTCTAAGAATCAGGGACCTGAAATATTACAGCAGAAGCTGTTATGAGACCACAACAGGGGTCGCGTAATTGTCTGCCGTAATCGTCTTCCGCTGCCGGAGTCCGAATTGGTACGTATTCGGTGGCCGGACGACAGCAGGCTCAGGAAACGGACCACTCAAGCAGTGCCAGGAAGACTAATCCTGTTTATTAAGTTTGCGACGCGTTTCGAGCGCTACGCGGCCAATCAGACGTTGGCAGGAGAGGACAAAAACAAGATAGCAGATCAAGCGGGGAAATCTTAGCGGAAACCCCCAACATAAAAAGGAGGGCCAGCACTACGTATGTTGCAACTCGGCAAAAGCTACCCGTAGCGGAAGGCGTTCAAGAGGATAACGCTTTATGAACGGCTGGAGGTGGTAACAGGAAGACAACATGTGGGCAGGTTTGTCCAAGCAGAGAACTGACACGTTTTCACGGTCACATTGTGCATT